AGTGGTGTGGGGATTTCAAGAAGAGACAGGAAATCGTGGGAGAGGGAGAAACAACTTGTTCCCCCCCCCCCGGTGCCTGTCTGTCTGTCATCCATTCATCTTCTGCCATCCAATATCATTTGCCCTGGCAAATGCCTACATCCCCACCCCACCCCGGACAGGTCCTCCCAGCACCCAGGCCAGTTTATGAGTGTGTGCAAATAGTCTCCGGTCTCCCAGACACTGGATTACTCAAAATGCGTGCAGGAAGGGGGGGAGTCTTGAAAAGTGCCCGGAACAGAAACGGTTCCATTAACTCTGCTTCTCTCGACGTTGCAGGGAATCCCGGGCAGCCCAGAGCCGGAGAGCGCCCCCCTCCAGGAGAGCCAGCCCCCAGAGCAGTCAGCCCCAGAAGGTGGGTTGCCTCCCCCCCCCCCCAACTTCCGTGCAGGTGTTTTCCGGGGGGTTTCGGCTGCGGGGAGAGGGGGGATTAAGCATTGGCGACCTTGGGGGCCCTAACGATTGGGCGGACGCCTTCCCTTGCTCGCCCCCTTCTGCAGTCTCCTCCCCTCACCCCCTATTTGCTACTGCAGATGGGGTGTGTGCGTGTGTGTGTGGGGGGGATGTGTGTGATGCTTCCATATAATCCCGACCCCTCCCGGACGCCTGGCTCTAACACCTCCCGGGCCCTACAGGAGAGAACCCGCTGGAGTTTCTACGAGACCAGCCTCAGTTCCAGAACATGCGGCAGGTGATCCAGCAGAACCCGGCTCTGCTCCCGGCTCTCCTCCAGCAGTTGGGCCAAGAAAACCCGCAGCTGCTGCAGGTGAGTGGCCGGAGGGGGGGGGGGGGGGGGGGGGGGATGCGGCTGGGCTCCGTTCCGCATCGCATTCCTCCGCAGGCAGCACCGGGGACAGTCCACGGGGTGAGAACCGGACTGTCTGCCTTTGCCTGGTAACATTTGCGCAGATGAGGTATTCATCCTGCCTTTTCTGCCCAGGTGACGAATGCAATTTCTGTCCCTCCTGTTTTATCCTCATGGCATCCCTGTGGGTTCTCGTTTATTTATTGACTCGGTCTGTGCCCCGTCTTTCCCCCCCAGTGGGGACTCACTCCGTGGGGACTCTCCTTGCAATACTCTGTCCTCGCAACAACCCCGTGAGGTCGGTGAGGCTGTGTGTGTGACTGGCCCAAGGTCCCCCAGCGGGCTTCCAGAGCACAAGTGGGAATTCGAACCTGGGTCCCTCAGATCTTAGTCTGACGGTCTAACCACGACGCCATGTTGGCTCTCAAGGGGGCTAGGCTGAGTGTGGCCAGCCCGTGGTCACCCCATGAGTGTCACGGCAGAGGAAGGGTTTTTGGAAAAAAAAACCCTTGCAGGTCATAGCTTAGGGCTTTAACCACTACAGCACACTGGCTGGCCTGAGTTACTTGGCGGGCAAGCTCCAACAGTGACCGCTGTGTTTGTGTCGGTGGGAGTGGGGACCGCCGCGGAGACAAATAGAGGATCTAGTGAAGAATCATAGAATATTAAGAGTTGGAAGGGACCTCGCAGGTCACCTAGTCCAGCCCCCTGCACTCTGCAGGAGCAGTGCTGAAAGATAGCCCTACAACATACCTGAAAGATGATCGTCCAGCCTCCGCTTGGAAACGTCCAGCGAAAGAGCATCCATCACCTCCCGAGGCAGACTGTTCCACTGCTCAACCACTCTGACAGTTAGGATGTTTCTCCTGATATTGAGCCGGTAACGACTCCCTTGTCATTTCCACCCATTGGAAATTGGATTTCTACCCCGCCCTTCACTACCTGAAGGAGTCTCAGAGCGGCTTACAATCCCTTTCCCTTCCCCTCCCCACAATAGAAGCCCTGTGAGGTAAGTGGGGCTGAGAGAGCTGAGAACTGCCCTTGAGGCTACAAGCATGGACGGCTTCAAAAGGGAACTGGATAAACATACAGAGCAGAGGTCCATCAGTGGCTATTAGCCACAAGGTATAGGTAGGAAAAAATGACTGACCCAAGGTCACACCAGCAGGTGCAAGTGGAGCGGGGAATCAAACCCCGTTCTCCCAGATTAGGGTCCGCACACTTAACCACTACATGAAATTGGTGTGCCAACGCTAAATGAAAGGTGGGGCAGCTCTGTGGACGCACACTCCATGCCACTTTCAAGTTCTTTGATCTTTGGATTTTATGGTACCCTCTGCATAGATTTATTGCTGGTTTATGGTATACCCGGCCCTTCACTACCCGAAGGAGTCTCAGAGCGGCTTACAGTCCCTTTCCCTTCCCCTCCCCACAGTAGAAGCCCTGTGAGGTAAGTGGGGCTGAGAGAGCTCTCCTGAGAACTGCCCTTGAGAGAACAGCTCCGAGAGAACTTGTGACTGACCCAAGGTCACACCAGCAGGTGCAAGTGGAGGAGCAGGGAATCAAACCCCGTTCTCCCAGATTAGGGTCCGCACACTTAACCACTACATGAAATTGGCGTGCCGACGCTAAATGAAAGGTGGGGCAGCTCTCTGGACCCCCTCGGCAGGGAAGTCGCCCCAGCTGCCCTTGACAGCACAGCCGCTGCGCTGTTTCGTGACATCCCGAGGCGATGAGGAACGGGGCGAAGGCGTTGCCGCTTTAGCCTCCTCGTCCTGTCGGGACATCGCCAAACACTGACCGCTTCTCTCCCACCCCCAGCAAATCAGCCAGCACCAAGAGCAGTTCATCCAGATGCTCAACGAGCCCTTGGGCGAGATGGCGGACGTCGCCGACATCGAAGGGGAGATGGGCGCCATCGGGGAAGAAGCCCCCCAGATGAACTACATCCAGGTCACGCCTCAGGAAAAAGAAGCCATAGAAAGGGTACGTCGGAAGGCGGGGCTGGGGGAGGCGGGGCAGGAAAGGGAGGCCTGAGAGATCCCCTTGCGCTCTGCGCTGGAGCGGTCGGCACAGACCGTTTGGAGGGACGGGCTCAATCACAGAGGGTCGGAAGGGACCCACGGGGTCATCTAGTCCAACCCCCTGGCACCCAGTGTTCCCTCTAAGCTGAGTCAGTGTGAGCCAGCTCACAGTTTTTTAGCCTCTGGCTCACACATTTTTGTCTTAGCTCGGGAAGGAGGGCTGCAGAGCAAGCTAATTTATGCCGCAGACAAATCGCTCACTCACAACTTTAATGCCAGTCGCTCACAACGTAGAATTTTTGCTCACAGGACTCCACAGCTTAGAGGGAGCGTTGCCTGCACCACACAGGAAATTCACAAATGCCCCCCCCACCCACACACACACCCAGTGACCCCTGCTCCATGCCCAGAAGATGACAAAATACCCCTCCAGGATTGCTTCCTGACCCCCAAAGTGGCGACCAGCACTTCCCTGGGCGTGTAAGAAAGGGCCACAAGAACTGAGCACTGAGGCAATCCTTCCTGCCTTCTCTCTCATGATCTGCCCAAGTTCACAGAATCAGCATGGCTGTCAGATGGCCGTCTAGCCTCTGTTTGAAAACCTCCAAAGAAGAAGAGCCCACTGCCTCCCAAGGAATCATGGAATCATAGAGAGTTGGAAGGGACCTCTGGGGTCATCTAGTCCAACCCCCCCCTGCACCAGTGTTCCCTCTAAGCTGAGTTAGTGTGAGTTAGCTCACAGTTCTTTAGCCTCCAGTTCACAGATTTTTGTCTTAGCTCAGGGAGGATGGCTCCAGAGCAAACTAATTTATGCAGGAGCCAAATGGCTCACTCACAGCTTTTAATGCCAGTAGCTCACAAAGTAGAATTTTTGCTCACAGGACTCCACAGCTTAGAGGGAAGCCTAAGCATGCAGGAAATTCACAAATACCTCCCCCCACACCGACCCCCAGTGTTCCACGCCCAGAAGATGACAAAAAGCCTCCAAGATGACAAAAAACCTCCAAGATCTCCAGCCAAAATGCTCTGGAGCTGGGTGGCACCAGAGCTGCTCGGGAGGAGCAGGAGGAGAAGATTGGATTTATACCCCTGGCCCTTCACTTCCCTAGGGAGTCTCAGAGCGGCTTACACACTCCTTTCCCTTCCCCTCCCCACAACAGGCACCCTGTGAGGCAGGCAGGGCCGAGAGAGCTCTGACAGGAACTGCCCTTGAGAGAACAGCTCTGAGAGAACTATGGCTTGCCCAAGGTCATCCAGCAGGTGCGAGTGGAGGAGTGGGAAATCAAACCCAGTTCTCCCAGATTAACCACCAGAAGAAGAAGAAGGAGATTGGATTTCTACCCCGCCCTTCACTACCCAAAGGAGTCTCAGTGGAGCGGCTTACAAACTCTTTTCCCTTCCCCTCCCCACAACAGACACCTTGGGAGGTAGGTGGGGCTGAGAGAGCTCTGAGAGAAACTGCTCTTTTTCAAGGACAGCTCCTATCAGAGCTACAGCTTGCCCAAGGTCATCCAGCAGGTGCGAGTGGAGGAGTGGGAAATCAAACCCGGTTCTCCCAGATTAGAGTCCACGCACTTCACCACGACACCAACCTGAGATTGGGAATTGTCAGCCTCACAGAGGAGGCCCGGCTGTATCGGGAGCTCTTCAGAAGCAGGGGCCCCCATCCTCTGCAAGCCACTTCTGGCCTCCCTCCAGGGAGCCCCAAGCCAGGTCTGGGCACCACACGATCCCGTTTCCTGTCCCTGAAATCTGTGGCTCCTTTCAATAGAATGACGTAGCTTGTACCTGTTTTGCACCAGAGGGCTCCACTGCACTCCCCCCCCGTCCCCGTCCCCCCCGCATGTACCAGGTAGGTCTCGTAGAATCTGGAGGATCTTTGCCAAGGAGACGTGTGCCGATAGAGGAGAACCGGGAAATGGGATTAAGTCAGGTTGTCCACTCTGGATTGAGAAGTCCTGGGAGATTCGGGTTGGTACTGAATCGGGGAAGGACGTCTGTCGGATATAATGTCACGTGGCCAAACTGGCTTGGGGAATTCATGGAAATCAGGGGATGGCGTTTCAGGATGGCAAAAGGTAAAGTCCAGTCTCCAGTCCAAAGCAGCCCTTTTCTCCAGGGGAAAGCCAGGTCTGGGCACCACACGATCCCGTTTCCTGTCCCTGAAATCTATTGCTCCGTCCAATAGAATGACGTAGCTTGTACCTGTTTTGCACCAGAGGGCTCCACTGCACTCCCCCCTGCCCTCCCCCCTGCATGTACCAGGTAGGTCTCGTAGAATCTGGAGGATCTTTGCCAAGGAGACGTGTGCCGATAGAGGAGAACCGGGAAATGGGATTAAGTCAGGTTGTCCACTCTGGATTGAGAAATTCTGGGAGATTCGGGTTGGTACTGGATCGGGGAAGGATGCCTGTCGGATATAATGTCATGTGGCCAAACTCTGGCTTGGGGAATTAATGGAAATCGGGATGGCGTTTCAGGATGGCAAAAGATAAAGTCCACCCTCCAAAGCAGCCCTTTTCTCCAGGGGAGCCGAACTCTGTGGTCTGGAGATCAGTCGTAATTCCGGGAGATCTCCAGGCCTCACCCGGAGGGTGGCAACCCTCCGCCTTGCTCCCGGGTCACTGCAGGGCCCGCTTGAGTGTTTTCAGGTGGGGGGGGGGTTAAGATGTTGCCTTCCTAAAGTAGCCCAGTGATACCTGGGGATTCGGGTGCTAAACCAGGCCCCGTCTTTTGCACAGCATTTTGTGTTTGTAAAGTCCCGGAAACAGAGGCTTGTCATAGAATCATAGAATGTTAGAGTCGGAAGGGACCTTGCAGGTCATCTAGTCCAACCCCCTGCACTCTGCAGGAGCACAGCCGAAAGGTAGTCCTACATACCTACAACATACCCAAAAGATGGTCGTCCAGCCTCCGCTTGAAAACGTCCAGCGAAGGAGCATCCACCACCTCCCAAGGCAGTCTGTTCCACTGCTCAACCACTCTTGGAATCATAGAATGTTAGAGTCGGAAGGGACCTTGCAGGTCATCTAGTCCAACCCCCTGCACTCTGCAGGAGCACAGCCGAAAGATAGCCCTACAACATACCCGAGAGATGGTCATCCAGCCTCCCCTTGAAAACGTCCAGTGAAGGAGCATCCACCACCTTCCGAGGCAGTCTGTTCCACTGCTCAACCACTCTAAGGAAGTTTCTCCTGATACTTAGCCGGTAGCAACTCCCTGGTAATTTCCACCCATTAGACCTCGTCTTGCAATCTGGAGCAAGGGAGAATAGCCCTGCTCCATCTTCTACCCCAGACCCGGCCCACACAAAAGAGGGATGGGTGGAGGCCTCCCAGAAAGTGGAGTTCCCGCTGGAGTTCAGCGGAAGTCCTGGTCGTCGCGGTCCCTTCCGACGAACACAGGGGAGGGGCTGTAGCATCGGGCACTGCCGCTGTAGGAGAGGCTGAGCGTCTTCCTTCTCTCCTCCCTTTCTCCCCGCTCCAGTTGAAGGCCCTTGGCTTCCCCGAGAGCTTGGTGATCCAGGCCTACTTCGCCTGCGAGAAGAACGAGAACCTGGCGGCCAACTTCCTCCTGAGTCAGAACTTTGACGACGAGTGATAAAAGGAAAAAAAAAAGAGTTTTATAGAAAAATCTTCTATATAAATATTGGTTTATTTAAAGGGGCATGTGTGGGGGCAAGCGGGTGGCGGCGGTTGGTGTGGTCTGAGAAGGTCCCGGGCCGAGCGTGTGGCTGGCTGGCTGGCTGGAGGGAAATGCTCTTCTCTTGGAAACGTGGGCCGCTGCGGTGGTGGTGGGGGAGCAGAACAAACAGACCTCCCCCCATGTCCGTCCCCCCCCCTCCCCAAATAGCAGCCACCTTTGAGCCAAGCGGCTCCATCCCACCCAAAAAAGAAAAAGAAAAAAAAGAAAGGCTTTGGATTGGCCGGCTGAGGCTGATCAGGGAAAGGGCGGCACGCCAGATGGGCTCTGTTGGACCTTCTCCCGTCGGAGCTGCGTGTGTGTGTGTGTGTGCTTGCGTGTGTGCAAACAGATTGCTCTTTTGTTTGCAAATCCCACCCCTCCCCACCTCCTCCGCCAGAGCGCCCTGCTGGCCTATGTCTGCTCCCGTCAGCCGCCACCGTCGTCAGGAGGCTGGTCCCCCCTTCCTCCGGGTTCCACCGCCGCCGCCTGCCTTTGAACCGAGCCCCGTGGTCCATCCAGGGTGGGCAGCCAGGCTTTTGTGGCTCGCCAGGAAGAGGCCGTGCCATGGCGGGAGGAGGAGGGCGCAGAGTTGCGTTTGCCTCCCCCGGTCATGTCCTCCACTAAGCGGCCCCCTTTCTTCCAAATCCGTTCTGGAGGGAGAAGCGGAAACGGGAGCTTCAGGCCCAGTCCGCTGGAGACCCTGGGCTCCTTTTGGCCGTCCTCTCTTTTCTGCGCCGTTCCCGGCCAGCTGCCCCGTGGAACCAGCGGTTCCCACAGGCTGCCCGAGCGGGATTTAACCCCCCAGGAACCTCGTCAGCCGGCACGGCCGATTCTTGCCACTTTTAATGTTGAGGTCTTGGAACCTGCGGACCTCATGCGATACCAAAACAATGAATTGATTTCTTACAAAGTCCTTCAGCGGGCGGATCTCTTAAAATGGCCCTCTTGGGGGCGAGAGACGCCTTTTGAAGGAAACCCTGCTTTTAAAAATGATTTCTGTGTTGCGGCAGTTTCGAGGAGACTTGATATTTTCTAGTATTAACCGAATTTACCTGTTGTTGGAAGGATTCTTGTATTTCAAAGACTTTTTTCGTTCGTAAAACCTGGCAGTTGCTGGGGGGGGGGCACAAAATCTCTGTGTTCAACACTGGGAGGGGTTTTTTAATTTTTGGGAGGGAGATTTTTGTCGCCACCTCTCTTTTTAGGGAAATGCTTAGCAAGAAAAGCCTGTTTTAATGTACGTTTTTGAAGCTTGAGTTTAGATCGATAAGAATGTATTCCGATCGGCCTCATAAAAATTGGTCTGATGTTTGGCTTTTCCAGTCTCTGATATCCATTGAAATTGATTTTTAATACTGAACAGGCAGGTACAAAACTGCCAGAGACTTCCTTGGTTGAGATCGCTCTCCTCCTTTATGTGGGGGGTATTGGTCAAAGATGTTTCTGGTTTCAAACGTTAATAAAACTCTCCGTTTCCACCTGTTAAGCCCCCGTTTCCTTTTGCTGAAACCGTGCAAACTGCCTGCCGTGTTTCTCTTTTCACCCTCCTCACACCCATCCCGTCCGGAAGCCCCACTGCTCCCTCCGCAAACGTCCACCACAAAGAGAACAAGAGTATTGCCTCTATGCCTCAAAAAATAAATTTTGAAGCCATAAAGTAACTCTTGAATCGCGTGATGTTGTTGACTATGACAGATGGCGTGTGGTATTTACTAGAATAAAGCTAAATTAATTTTGATTTCAAGGATGGCTGAGTGGTGCGGGGGGTGGGGGAGCGGAGAGAAGCCGTGTTCCTTCTTAAGTCCAAAAGAGCGTTCGGTGGTCAGAGTGAGCCGTGGACAAAAAGGGTGTCGGATCTCCTGCCTGACCTGGAATTGGCGTCAGCTCTACCGTTAGCAAAATGGAGGGGGGGGGATTGAGAGTGTCGGTGGTCTGCAGCTGGCTTTGAACGCACTCCCCAACCGCTGTTCCTCTGGGTCTTGTGGCTTCGCTGAAAGATCCAGCCCACACCAGGGAATCCTGATTGACTGGAACGTGCCGTATTGTAGTCGCACCAAATGTCGAAAACATTGCTAAAAACGGGAGTGGGTTTGCATGTGTGAGCGCATGCGTTTGCTGGATTTGTTTTATTTTTGTATGTTTGAACTGCCAGCTCCAAGCTTTGCTTCCCGACTCCCAACGTGCCGCTGCTGCTGGCTCCTTGTTTCGTTTTTAGAAGCAACCGATTGTTTCTGGCTCTTCTGGCTTCAGAGAGAGAATCGGCTTGGCTTGGCGCCTAGTGAGACCTCAGAAGCCAGAGGAGAGGAGACCAGCTGAATCGGCGTCCAGTCATGGGTTTCAGTGTTGTGTGTAGCTCCGTGCACCTCCCCGTGATTAACGGAAGCAGAACCCATTCTGTGGGGAAAGCAAACAGCGGCCACCTTGCTTAATTTGGAAAATCTGCGCAGGTAACATGGCGTAGGTGTTTGTTTTTTAATGCAAGAGAAATCTGGTTGCCGGGGTCTTGGTGAGGGAAGCTGCTGCTGCCACCGCCAGCTTTTGTGAAAGATGTGCACCGAGAGCCTGGCCTTGTTCCCCGGAGAAGGAGTCGTGGGACCAGATGCGCAGGGCTTGGAGTGAGAGTGAGCGATGCTCACCAAAGCCCTCCCTTCCTCCCAATACTCCTTCGGGCACAGGATGCGGAGGTTGAATTTTGTCGGTCCCACCCAAATTGTGCCCCCCCCCCCCGGTTGTCCAGTTTTCTCTCTGGCCTGTGTTGATTTGGGAGCTCTGTTCACTCCTCCTTTGTCTCTGGTTGGAATGTTCCGGGCCCTGTGACTGGAGTGTGGAATAAATAAGAAGTTCAGGCCACTCGGTGGCGGAACGAGGTGTGGATTCCTTCAGTCCGAGTGTCTGGCTCTTTCTTTCCGGTGGAGAAGGGAGGGGAGGGAGGGCTGACCTCTGAGCGGGAGGCTAAGAACACATCTTTCGCTCGGAGAAACGAGGGCTGAGGGGTGAGGTGATCGAGGTTTATCAGATTATGCATGGGATAGAGCAGGTCGAGAAAGAGGTACTTTTCTCCCTTCTTCACAATACAAGAACTCTGTGGGCACTCCATGAAATTGCTGAGCAGTCGGATTAGAACCGATAAAAGGAAGTCCTTCTTCACCCAAAGAGTGATTAACATCTGGAATTCACTGCCACAGTAGGTGGTGGCGGCTACAAGCATGGACAGCTTCAAGAAGGAATTGGATAAGCATATGGAGCAGAGGTCCCTCAGTGGCTATTAGCCACAAGGTATAGATAGGAGCTCTCAGTCTGGGGCAAGGGATGCTCTGTGTTCTTGGTGCTTGGGGGTGGGGAAACAGTGGGAGGGCTTCTAATGTCCTGGCCCCACTGCTGGACCTCCTGATGGCACCTGGTATTTCTGGCCACTGTGTGACACAGAGTGTTGGACTGGATGGGTATTGGCCTGATCCAACATTGGCTTCTCTGATGTTCTTATAAGAGGGAATTGGGTAAACATGTGGAGCAGAGGTCCATCATTGGCTATTAGCCATAAGGTATAGATAGAGACTCTCGGTTTGGGGGGCAAGGGATGCTCTGTCTTCTTGGTGCTTGGGGAGGGGGGGCAACAGTGGGAGGGCTTCTGGTGTCCTGGCCCCACTGCTGGACCTCCTGATGGCACTGGTATTTCTGGCCACTGTGTGACACAGAGTGTTGGACTGGAGGGGCCACTGGCCTGATCCAACACTGGCTTCTCTGATGTTCTTACGTTCTTGCATCACAGAAGGCAGATTTGGGACCCAGTACGGTGAAAATGACCCAGGCGAAGGCAAACCGCCTCTTTTTGCCTTTTGCCTCGACCTGGCCAGCCCGATCTCTTCACATCTCGGAAGCTCAGAAGAGGTCCTGGTTAGTCCTCGGAGGGGAGTCCACCGAGGAAGCCCAGGGTCACTTTGCAGGGGCAGGCCATGGCAAAACACCTCCATTCCTCCCTTGCCTCTTGCCCATTCATGCCAGATCTTGGGAGCAAAGCGGGGTCGATGAGTCCTTGGAGGGGAGACAGCCAAGGGGCGCCGCGCAGGGGCAGGCCGTGGCAAACCCGCCTTTGATTTCTGTCTCTCTTGCCATAAGTCAGGGCTCAGGGGTGACAGGATGGCCCTTTCCACCGCCAACTTGGAGAACCGCTTGGAAGGATGCTGACGAGGGAGGCCGGAAAGAACGCGTGTCATTCCTCTGCGTTTCTGGCGCACCCAGCCTAGATGATGATGAAGAGGTTGGATTTATACCCCATGTGGCCCTTCACTACCCGAA